AACTCCTTGGGGAGAACAAAAGGATAGGTCCTTTCCTGCCAGGGGTAGCAAGAGGGCTTGGATCCAGAAAGGCAAGGAGTCTCGCAGGCTTCCAGGGTAGGCCTGAGCAGGGCTTACTGGGGACCCAAGCTGCCCCTCAGCTCCACCTTCCCTCCCTCCCCACCAGTGGCCATGAGGATAGGCCTCTCTGCCTTCTCTCCCTTGCTGGGGGGTCCTTAGCTGGGAATTTCATGTCTGGGAGGAAGGGGAGGGGCTGCTCTGGGGAGGTCCTTAAGACACTTCTCTGCCCCTGGCCTTACGGCTGGGGTTTGGCTAGACCTACCCTCTAGATTCCACATTTCTCTGGTACCAGATCCCTAGCCCAGGGGAGACACCCGAGAACCCCCAGATGGTACAGTAGCTCTGTGGCCCTCTGTTAGGGATGTAACCTCACAACACAGACACACAGAGTCCGTGGTGCATGCACAAGCAGGTCTCTCAGATCCCAGCTGTGGCTTCTCTGACCTGGGTCTGGAGTCGAGTCACAGCTGCCCCACTGCTCACCCACCCCACTGCCAGGGCCTCTTCTGCCCACCTGGGCCCTTGAGTTGGGGAGCCTGGGACATGAAGACTGCATCTGACCCAGATTCTCTGAGCAGCCCCACAGCACAGAGGAAAGACTGCCTCCTGGTGGTCCCCGGGGTCTGGCTGTCAATTATCAAGAAGTACCCAGCATGAGGCCACCCCAGGGACTTTGCATCTGACCCAGATTCTCTGAGCAGCCCCACAGCACAGAGGAAAGACTGCCTCCTGGTGGCCCCCGGGGTCTGGCTGTCAATTATCAAGAAGTACCCAGCATGAGGCCACCCCAGGGACTCGACTTTTCTCAGCTTTTCTCTTCTTCCCAGGAGGGCAGAGTGGATGTGAAGAGCTGTTGTTTGGCCTGCTCACCTTGGAACATTGGGGGCTGGTTTCTTGAACAGGACTGTGGTTGGGCTTCAGGTCTGTTTGAAAATCTTGGCTCACAGCAAGTTTGGTCTGACCCTGCTAGTGTCCAGAGGTGACAGCAGCCATCCCCTGCCCCTGGGAAGGTCGCTCCAGACTCTCCCACAGCCACACCCCTTCCTGTTTCTTTGTCCCTGCAGCCCAACTCCTCTTTCCGACCGCTGCAGAAAGACTCCCCCCCAAGCCTGGTAGCCAAGGCCCAGTCCTTGCCTTCGGACCATCCCGTGGGGACCTTCAGCCCTCTGACCACCTCAGATACCAGCAGCCCCCAGAAGTCCCTTCGCACAGCGCCAGCCACCGGCCCGCTTCCAGGCCGGTCTTCCCCAGCAGGCTCGCCCCGCACCCGGCATGCCCAGATCAGCACCAGCAACCTGTATCTGCCCCAGGACCCTGCTGTGGCCAAGGGTGCCCTGGCTGGCGAGGAGACGGGCGTTGTGACACACGAGCAGTTCAAGGCTGCACTCAGGATGGTGGTGGACCAGGGTGACCCCCGGCTGCTGCTGGACAGCTATGTGAAGATTGGCGAGGGCTCCACAGGCATCGTCTGCCTGGCTCGGGAGAAGCACTCGGGCCGCCAGGTTGCTGTCAAGATGATGGACCTCAGGAAGCAGCAGCGCAGGGAGCTGCTCTTCAATGAGGTGGGAGGACAGGGCGGGACGCGGTGGGGGCATTTGGGAAGGGCAGTGAGTGCACAGCCAAGCTAGACATCTGTCTGCAAGCAGGGGCAGCGGGGTGGCCAAGTCTCATGGGTGCTGTGCCCGGCATTCAGGCCCCTGCCTGCCCTCAGGTGGTGATCATGCGGGACTACCAGCATGTCAACGTGGTGGAGATGTACAAGAGCTACCTGGTGGGCGAGGAGCTGTGGGTGCTCATGGAGTTCCTGCAGGGCGGGGCCCTCACAGACATCGTCTCCCAAGTCAGGTGGGCAGCTGGCAGGGCTGGGTCCCAAGTGTGGACTGTCACCACTATTGCCCTGGCAGGGGTGTTGGGCAGCCATTGCCCCAGAAGACTTGGGGTTCCTGTCTTATCATCCTGGCCCTCCTGCCTATTTGGGGTAACTGCGACCCAGGGGAGTGGGAAATAGAAGGGTTGTCTCCAGCCTAGGCTCAGGCCCAGTTTCCACCAGGGCTGTGGCTGAACACACTGCCCAGGAGCTGTGGGGTCTGGTACTGGGGACCCTTACTCTACCCAGCCCAGCCATCCTGTGGCCCTGCCAAAGCTACCACTCTCTTCAAATTGGTGGCCTTGCCTTCTCCCTATCCAGGCTGAACGAAGAGCAGATTGCCACTGTGTGTGAAGCAGTGCTGCAAGCTCTGGCTTACCTGCATGCCCAGGGTGTCATCCACCGGGACATCAAGAGTGACTCCATCCTGCTGACCCTCGATGGCAGGGTAGGCCCCTGTCTGTGCCTGGCACAGCTATGCCCCCAGTTCCCTGCTCCCACCACCCTCTCCTCCTTTTGTACCACTCACTGCCCTTTCAACCCCAGGTGAAGCTCTCAGACTTTGGATTCTGTGCTCAGATCAGCAAAGATGTTCCTAAGAGGAAGTCCTTGGTGGGGACCCCCTACTGGATGGCTCCTGAAGTGATCTCCAGGTCTCTGTATGCCACTGAGGTAACTGTTCCCTCCCTCCTCCAGGCCTCCCAGAAGAGGCTTGGGAACATGCATCTCTTCTGCTCATGGTCCCCTCTGGAGCCCCCACCCAAAATAGCCCTGGTTCTCAGATTCCCACTCGGTCAATACCCTGCCTCCTTTCTGGTGGGGCTGCTCTCACCTGTTACTTTGCTGCCAGGAACAGGTCCCCCAGCTCAAGGGCACAGGGGTATAGCCAGGGTTGCCCAGGTATGATGGCTTTCCTCAGAGAATGGATGACAGCTGTGTCCCTACAGTCAATGGCCACTCATACAGGAAGTAACTGACCACAGGGCAGGTGATCAGGGGAGGAAGGAGACAAACTCACAAAGGAGAGCTTGGACCAGCTGCTCCCCTCCCCCTCCAGCATGCTGCTACCAAGGGTCCAGACTCTGGCCAGTGGGGTCAGGGACATTCTCCTCCTGCAGGTGGATATCTGGTCTCTGGGAATCATGGTGATTGAGATGGTGGATGGAGAGCCACCCTACTTCAGCGATTCTCCAGTGCAAGCCATGAAGAGGCTCCGGGACAGCCCCCCACCCAAGCTGAAAAACTCTCACAAGGTCAGTTGGTGTACAAGGTGTGACCCCAGAGACTCCATTCCTCCTGAAGTGAGAGGACCAGAGCCTTGGCTCCCAGCCAGGCCCAGCCTCTCCCCTCCACAGAAGCCAGAGAGTCCAGGCTCCTGGAAAAGGCTCTTCTTTCTCTACACAAAACCTGCCCTGGATATGGAGCCACACCTAGATGCAGACTCCCATGCTCGCTCCAAGTTTCTACCTGCAGCTGCAGCAGTAGAGTCACTCATCAGCAGGCACTTGACAGGAGCCCAGAGATACCTATGAACAGTAAAAGCAAGGAACCCCTGCTGCCCCAGGGAGGAAGCCTAACTGAGTACAGACCCCCTCCACCCCTTTGTCAGGAGATCCATCTCTGACAGTGTTCCTGTCACTGCAAATCAGCTTGTCCTCCATCACTGCACATCCCGACCACAGCCGAGCCACAGCTTGGCCCTTAAAACCAGTATGTACATATGTATGAGCATATATTTAACCCTCTTCTGCCAAATCCATCACAAACCTGCAGTTCTTACCTGTGGACATCCCCTGCTGGCAGGTCAGCACAGGGCTGCTAAATGGCACTGCCATCTGGTGGCCAGAGCAAGAAATGTCCCAGAGGATTGAAACCATTTCTAAACTGCAAAATAGTTCTGTGGCCCCAACACAGCTGGATAAGAGGACCATCAGGAAACATCTTCTTAGATAACTTGTCTTTTGAGCCTGCACTGCTGACCCCACAATTAGCAAATAGAAATCTCCAGTTGGCTGACTCCCCAGAGAATGTAGCCTCTGCCCAAGACCAGCATCATCCCAAGATATAGGCCCAAAATGAACCAAGATAAGCCCTTGACTTAGACTCTAAAGCTTAGAACAACACAGAAATCTTCCTTTTCAGGTCCCAACTTGTTCTTTTCTATTTTTCAAAGCACTTCCTCATCCCAGCCTCTTTTTTTTT